GACTTTTACATGATACAGATATGCCATTGAAAAACATTCTATCTCTCTGTAGAATTACCACACTAGTTATCCTTATTCTATTTATTTACTTATTAATATATTTATTTATTTTTACATCCCTACCACAGTTTCCTTCTCTCCTCCCAGTTCCTCTTCTAAATATTATTTCTAACCAAGCAGAGTATTTCTCTACCTATATACTTTTATTGTCCTTTATTCTACCCCCATCTGCTGTTTTACTTAAACCTAAGCCATCCCTTCTTTGGATGGTCAGTTCAAGATCCATCTCCTATAAGCATATCTGCCCATACTATTTCTTCAACAGTAGCAATACTATTTTCTAATGTCCTAATATTCACTCAAAAACCACATATGTCCCATCTCCCCAATTAAAAACAATCCCACTGGTGTCAATGACCCTGTTGTAAACTTACACATCTCCAAGACTTGCCCACATATTTTATAAAAAGACACCCTATCCTCTCAGTTTTACTGGTAATGAGTTTTGCCTCTATCAATAGCTAGTGTGTACTAAGTCTTTTTCACATGCAAGAATCCATTCTAAGTATATAATATACGATAGCTAACTTAAACTACTGTTCTCCCCCTTTGCAGAAAAGGAAATGGAAGGAGAGTGTGTAATTCATTTTTTAAAGTTATCAGGCTAAAAGATAATAGAGTTCAAACTCATCTTGATTTCGGGGCCTACAATATGCCAAGCAGTTCTAATCCATCTGCAAGAATGTAAAAGACCCAAGGTATAGGTGGGCAGCACAGCCTCCTGGAACCTGAATGTTGTGAGAGCTGGAAGCATTCGGTGTTGCTTTTGAATTCATTTGCAATTGAAACCACTTACACTGACTTCAGAGGGTTCATAGAAAGAATGAAAATCACAGGCATAAAATACTGTCCCAGTCTATAATAAGCTCTTAACAGACTTTCTGTTTATTTTTGAATAGGGACTACATTTAGCCATGGCTTATATTTCCCTACCTTGTTTTTCAACTTTTGTGGAGTTTTTTGTTGTTGTTGTTCTTTTTCAACTTTTTATTGATTTTTTCTGAGTTTCACATCATGTACTCCAGCCCCACTCATCTCCCATCCTCTTGTATCTGCCCTCTGCAGTTGCACCCTCTCCCCAAAATTAAAAAAAAAAAGAAAGAAAACAGACTAGAAAACATCTTGTCTATGAAAGCTATAGTGTGTCACAGTGTGTACCTCCCACAGTGTACCTCTCTGTCCACACATCTTCACTTGCAAATGTTTATTGCAGTGAGTCATTGTTCTGGCTCTAGGCCTCTGTCTTCTGTTATAGCATCAATCCTGGATCTTTACCATTGTTGCCCCGTGCCATGGATATCCTGCAGCTTTAGATCAGTAGGATAGGCCCTTTCACACACTGCAACAGTTCGCATATGATGCAGATTTTGGGGTGGGGCAACTCAAAGTCTTGGATCTGGGTCTGTGGTAGTTGAGCTGGTCAGCTTGGCTGCTTTCCTGTATCAGTACCATGACGGTGAGCTCTCCAGCACTGCCTGGGCTAGCTTACCCAATGTTGCCATTGGCAGAGGCAGTGTCAGCTCATGCCCTTAGGCCAGCTCACCTGCACCCATACATCCAGAGTCAGCTTTGCTGCCCAGATGAGGAGCAGGGCGTACTTTTCTAAGTGTCACAGCCAGTGAGAGGCTGGGCCAGCTCTACCACCCTCAGACCCTCAGGGATGGCTCACCTGTGCCTTTACCAACAGGGTCAGGCCACATGGTATTGCCCAGGTGAGGTGCAGCCGGTGCGGGGCAGGGACAGTCCTCCCACCCTCATGATCTTGGGGCCAGCTTTACAGATACAACAGTTGGCAAGGCACAAGGGGGTTAGGGCATTCCCTATCTCCACTGTACCTCATAGAAGGTGAGTGGTGGGACCAGCTCATGCCCTCAGGGCTAGCTCACCTCCTGCCCCCCACCCCTGCTTCCACACCAGGGCCAGCTCTACTGTGCTGCCCACAGTGCAGGGCTTGCTCTCCTGAGTGCTGCAGCTGATGAGGGGCAGGCCAGCTCACCCATTCTCATGACCCCAGGACCACCTCTTTCAACTGCTTCCAGTGGTGAGGGATGAGGGGGTGGAGCATCACTCTGAGCCCAAGCAACCTCACGGCAGACTAGTGGCTACTGGTGGGGCCAGCTTACCTGAGCCCTCCTCCATGATGTACTTTTTTTTTTTTTTTAAGCTAGGGTCTTACCATATAGCCCAGGCTGGCCTAGAACTCTCAACCTTCCTGCTTCTTTCTGTAGAGTGAGGGATTACAGGTATATGTCACTTTCCTGGCTCATTTCTCTACTCTGTATGTCACTTTCATAGTAATCTATGTATTTTCACTGTGATTAAGTGCCTCTGAAGCTCTCAGCCTTCATAATCCTAAGGGCTAAGCTCCCAAATTCTTTAAAATAATATTATTCACCAATTCCAACAGAATCAATAATTAAACCTAATTGTTATCAAACATCAAAAAAATTATCATTCCCTATTTGCTACAGCACCCTTCTTTTCCTCCTAGATTCCAAAACTTGTATCCAAAGAGCCTCTCTGCCCTGTAATGATACCTGTCATTGCTCTCTCCTTTGTGCTCAGGGGAGTACTTTGAACCTGTTAGGATTTGTTCTACTGCTAAATAAATGACATGTGATTAGGTATATGTAGTTCTAAAATGGACTTATTGAACATATGCATTTTAAAAGTATCTGTTCTAGCACAGAGTGCCTCATGAACGGCAGTAAGGACATTTACTGAAAGCTGATGAGATGTTGGGCTCTTCTCAGTGTCTTACATGAACATTTAGTCCTCACAACAACTCTATAGATAGGTACTGTTAGTTTTTCTTCCCATTTTACATATCAGAAAACCGAGACTCAAAGAACTTAAGCAGCTAGCTAAGGTTACGTCATAGAGCCTGGGCTCTATATCTAAGCAGCTTGGCACCAGAACCCACTCTATTAACCATCACGCTACAGTTGAAATTCAGTAAAATATACTAATTTGTGTAAAAGAGATCCAAAACCTCTGCAGGACTATAATGCGCAAATCCAAACAAAATACCTCTGTATTATCTCCAATGAAGGAGATGCAGCAGTAGTTTTGGTTAAAGTCACCTAATCCTTGTATAAAATCTCTACACCTCAAGATTAAACTGCTACTTGTGAAGATGTTTATGAAAATTAAGTGAGATCAGAAGCTGGAAGGACACCAAGAACATATAAGCTACATAAACAGTGGATCAAATAGAAAAACCCGGACAACTTTCTTTCCTACATTATTAAGCAACAATTATAAAACAGTATTAGATAATAATCATAAGAATCTTTCTCTAAACCTTTGTGACAATACACTACCATAACTTTACTAATTTTCTGAGCACCCCAAACTTGTAAAAACAATCAAATAACCTTAATTATCTATAATGAAAGACAAATAGGTGCAGAGTACTGTCACCTCCGGGCATGAGAATAAAGAAACAGGAGAAGGGCCTTTGATTCATTGCAGTAAATGCAAAGGAAATATAAAAAGCAAACAATAAAGTCCCAATGAACTACGTATACTGACAACTTCAAGTGTGTCCAAATGTATTAAAGTTCTGGGGTGTATGCTCTAAGAGGCCATTGATTGTACAGAACAGGAAGGTTTAATGTGGCAATGTTGATCCTGGCACAAGAACTTCGAATGAGTCAACAGCTTGTTCAATACACAATCAACACAAATGTTAGATAATTAGTTAGGTGTTGGTAAGCTTTAAGGTCTTTGAGATGGACCCTTCTCTTCTTCATCAGTGGCTTGTAAAACCAGGAAGGAATACTGCAGAATTTCGATTTCTGGACAAAATAATAGGATATGAGTCTTATCTGGCTTGAGACTTGACATCTGCATAAGAAAATTTCAAGATTACTATCTAGCTGGAGGTTTTCCAGCTAACCACCACCACAACAAAGACACCTGGTTGTTCTTAATCCGAATGAACCTATCAGTCACCTGAGCAGGAAAACGCCCTTCAGGAAAGCTGTCTATATCAGGCACCTGAAGAAATAGCATAAAATCCAGCTAAAAATGTAAGTTGGCACAATAGTTCCTTTGGCCATTGCCCCCTCCTTACTGGTGAGAATGTCTTCCGATATTCTGTAATACATTTTGTCTTCTGCACTGGGCTGTGTGTCTAATTCCAAGATCAGGGGATCCAAGGGGGCAAAAGGAGGACAGAGAGATCCTAGTGACACAAAGGCTGGCCTGAGATCAAGTTTGAGGAAGGGTGCCAGAATGGGCTCTTGAGCCTCCCAGAGCCTAAGGTAGGTTCCCTCCAAGGGAGCCGCTCAGGTCCCAGTAGTGAGAGAAAGCCTAAGAAATGCTCTCCTAGAATGCTAAGTTCCAGGAATATGAAGTCCCTTCCAGCTGGACTGCTGAAGGGAAGAGGGTGACATTAGGCTGGACGACTAGGCTTAGATTTTAGCCATTAAAAAAAAGTGTAACAATCATCAAAAAAATGTGGCATGAGCTGGGACCGATCCTCAAGTCTAGTCGGCGGTGTCCCGCCGGCCAAAGGTCTGAGGAGACCAGCTCCAGGCCCAAGGCTCGCTCCCCTAGCCCGTTAGGGGAAGATGACATCTCCAGGAATCAGGGTCGCTCTGGACCTCCCGGGACGGTCGCTTCGAACCCACTCACCTGCCCGCCAGCACGCCACAGCCGGAGCGCGGAGACCGCCATCCTTGCCTCAGGCAGGGTCGCTCCCTAAGCTTTCCACAAAACCCTGGTGCCAGACACCCTGGGCGGGGCAAGCTCGCGCCCTGCCCACTCCGCGCACCCACCCCTCACACACCCCCTCGAGTCCCCGCCCACTTCCACCTACGGAACCCCAGGAGAGACATAAGGCCTCTCCACTTGCTCCCTACAGTTCGCTCACGCGAGACTTGGGCAGGGCGGGGGGGGTTGGGAGGGAGCGGAGACACAACAAATATGGCGGCCGCAGCTGCGACGCTAATAAACGCCGAGGCGGTGGCAGCGGCCAACAAGGCTGCGGGGATTCTCCGGTGCAGCTGTCAGGAGGTGAGTAACGGGAAGCCGGCTCGTACGGCGGCGCCGCCGTTAAGCAGGGCACGTTGACGGAACGGCGGGAGGTAAAAGTGCCGGGTTCCTCGCGGGCCGGCCGGCACCGCCGTAGCCTTTTCCACAGCGGAGGGTCGTGCGCGTCCCGTGGGCTGGCAGCGTGGTGACCCCGGACCTTCTTGGGTCGAGCGTGTAAGGGGTTGGGTCCGCCGCCCAGATGCTCGCGAGTGGGCGCCGTCGGGCGGGAGCTCGGAGGCGCAGGGTGGGGAGCTGCCTCCGGCTTTTGACAGGTGGCGAGCGGGGGAAGCGCTCCCTCTGTGGCGAGTTCTGGGGGTGCCGGAGTCCGGGGTCCACCCCGGCCACCCCAGAGGGTGTTCCTCCCGTCCCGGGCTGCTGTTGGGAAGGAGTTCCTAAGCCTCGAGTTTTCTCTGGTGAACGCTCCAGGACTGGTTTCCACTGCCTGTACTTTTCCTGGGTTGGGAGCCGGTGAGGTCGGGGAGGATGTTACGGCTCGGAGCTCTTCGGATTCATTCAGGATTTACGTCCCCGAGCGACTGTTGGGAGTGCTGTTGGATGCTCCTCAGCGGAGCACCGAAGGGCACGACGTCTAACCGTGGATCCAAAGTATAGTGTGTTGTAGCTGCCAGTGACCACGTAGCCCATTTAGTGACCCCCTTACGTGCTGGTCGGAACCCAACAGAGGGGTGACAAAGTGACAAGTGAGAGAGGATATGTAGACTTCTTAAATCGCGAGATGCAGGGAAATTACATTAGAAGACACAAAATGAAAACAGCGGGTTGAAATAGCTGGACTACTTTAAAATGTTGTCTTGAGTTTATGTTGCCTTCAGCTCAGCTGAGGATGAGTGTTTTCTTGGAAGTTCCCTGCAGTGAATTGAGATGTTTGATGTTCTTTTCCTGTAATGGTCCCGTGTTTCCCAGGAAACTGTAACTATTGTACAATAAGATAATAACGATGGGAATCAGATATGCCCTTGTTGAGCTCTGGTGACTGTTACAAGTTATTTCCCTAGTGTAGGGCTAATGTACTTTTTAGTGCAGCTGTACTTATTCAACAATACTAAGCCTGACATTTCTGGATGTCTACTGTGAATCACTGAAATTAATATATTAAATGTGGAAAAGTAAAATCACCTTGGCAACATGATAGTAACACAAGTGCCTAGGATTTAATTGTGGGCCAACACCATACTTTGCTATTGCGTTTTTTGTTTTGTTGGCTTAGTTTTTTTTTTTTTTTTCAGTTAATGCTAATGATACACAAGGTATCTTATTAGTTTATTAAACCTGTAGTTGCTAGTAAAGTTTTGACTTGTGTGCCTTTCTTTTCAGACTTCTTTTGAATTTTAGTTGAAATTCCCTCCATGGTCTTTGGGAGTCCTTTGGTATGTCTCCAGAGTAAATTTCAGTTATTCGACATTTCAGCAGTGTTGCAGTGGAAAGAAAAAGGTGAACTAATTTGGGGTAAAAAGGTTAGATTGTATGATTCATTTTTGGATTTCTTCCGATGTGGTTTCATTTCTGTTTACTTTTTAATATTATGTTTTCTGATTTCTCAGAAGATCCTAATCACAGTGTTTATACATTCAGAGTCTAGCTAATAGCGACTCTGGAATGGTGTGCTAATTCTTTCTGAAGATCCATGTTATTCTTTCTCAATTGTCAGGCTGCTTTACTAATAAATATTCTCTTGGAGAGTAAATATTTCAATGACCATAATCAATAGGTTATAGAAGTAAACACAGCTATTGAACTGTAAGCAACTTTATAGACCTGCCTAACCTCTGTGTTAAATTATCACATAAAAAGTTAGGCCTAAGAATTCTTCCTTACGATCAGTAACCCTTCAGTTTAAACATTTGTTTTTTAAAAATGCTAGATAAGTGAAGTATGCGTACTGTTCCCTAATCAAGCTCTTTCAAATTTTCCATTAGTCTATGCAGAGGGCATATAAAAGAGCTTTGTGACTTAAATTTATTTTATTTTATTTCATTCATATGGATGTTTTGTCTACATATGTGTCTGTACATCATGTGTATGCATGGTGCCCATGGAGGCCTGAAGAGGGCATTGGATTCCCTGGAAATCATGTTAGAGGTGGCGATAAGCCTCTGTGTGGGTGCTGGGAATCTAACCCAGGTCCTTTGCAGGAGCAGACAGTGCTCTTAACTGGAGTCATCTCTCTAGAACATTTGATTTTTTTTGAAAGGTTCTACATATTTTATTTATCTACATATTTTTAGCTCATGTGGAACAGGAAAAAAAAAAAGCAAATCAAATTCCCATTTAAATGCTGTAACAGGTTTTATTATCAGTTTTCATCCGAATCCCTTGTGGGATAGAACAATTCTTTTGTTTATTGGCCTAGAATTGCTTGATTTTGGAATTCTTGTGAGAAAACATGATGAGAAGCATAGTTGCAGATGGCAGAGGAAAGAAGACCCTTTGATTTTTATATTATCTGTTTCATAGTTGTACTTATCTTCCAGCTTGAATCTTAACACCTCTTTTAAATAATTAATTCCTGATTAAAAGGTATTTTATTGTATATGTGTGTACACACACATATATAGGATATATGGAATATTAATTCTTAGATTCTTTTCCACTATCTTGGGCAGTTTGTGTCTTATAATCATAAGGATTAGACGTTACTCTCCTCTTTTGTTGATGCAGTAGACATATGTCTTCATTCATGCTGTTATAACAAATTGCATGGACTGTATCTTACAGGGTTTGTACTGCTGTGACAAAACAACAGGACTAGACGAGTATGGTGATGCACACCTGTAATCCCAGCACTAGGGAGATAAGCAGGAGGGTCTCTGTGAGTTTGAGGCCAGCCTGGTCTGCAGAGTTCCAGGACAGCCAGGGCTACGCAGAAAGACCCTAACTCAAACAAACAAACCAACAAACCATCACAACTAAAAGTAATTCAGGGAGAGTTCATGTTTCCCTGTATTTCTATGTAACATTCCATCACTGAAGAATGTCAGGGCAGGAACTCAAGCAGGGCAGGAATTGTGGCACAGAAGCCATGGCTCTCCCTTAATGCTTCCTGGCTGGCTTCTGATGGCTTGCTCAGCCTGCTTTTATACACCCCAGGACCACCTGCCAGGGATGGCACCTCCCACAGTGATGTGGCTCTGCCACATCAGTCAATAACCAAGACAGCCCACAGGCTTGTCTACTGGATAATCTTACGGAAGCATTTTCTCAAATGATTCCTCTTCCTCCAGACATTGTGAATCTCAAGCTTTTAATTCTAGCACTCCTAAGGATCTCTGAGTTCAAGGTCAGCCTGGTCTACATAGTGAGTTCCAAACCAGCTAAAGCTACCCTAATGACACCCTGTTTGAAAACAAAGGTTCTTCTGGATTTGCCTCAATTTGTACCAGGCTGATAAAAGCCAACAGCAGGGACTAGGTGGTTTAAACAAGCATTTGTTAAGCTTGGGAACTGGGAAGTTGAGTTTGAGGTGCTAGCATATACGGGATCTGGTTTCTGGTTGTATACATAGTACAGAAAACAGAGAGCGAACTATTATTCTTAAGATCCTATTCTGATGCAGAAAACAGAGCAAACTATTATTCTGACGACTCTGCCCTCACAACGGATGTCATATTGTAGGTTAAAATCTCAACATAGAAATTTTCATTTGGAGCAATATCAGTTAGCAAAGATATTAGCTTGGAATATAGCATCAGAATCTATAATAATATTAGGAATGCTTAAATATGTTTTTCTGATGACATTTTGCATTGAAAATTTGAGTAATTTCTTGGCTAACAAGTCTGAGGTTTTGAGTGCACAGCCAGTTAGAAGATAATGAAAAAAGAAATAAAAAGGAAAGGACGTGACTGCTTCTAGGTATGGTGGAGGAGAAAGTGTATTGTAGACATGTGGAAGAGCATAGCCAGAGTCAGATACATCTGAGAGTCCAGAGTGGTCACGGCCCTAAGCCACAAGGAGAGAGGGGACGGGAAAAGGAAGAGAAGGAACCAGGTACAGCAGCCAGGAGGCCAAAGGAGCAAAAAGAGCAGGTGGCCAAAACTATTGGATTATATAGAGAAGGGCAGTCCAGCTGTCTAGGCTGGAGAGTTCGGGGTGTGTATGTTTTTGCTTTTTGGGGGGATGGGGTGGGGGGGGAGTATGCAAGCTAGGTAGACCTGTAACAGACAGGGACTGAGGGATGCTGGGAGAACCTGGTGGCCAGATTCTTTTTGCTATATTAAGTAGTTACCTCAGCCATTTGTCCGTGGTTTGAAACTTAACAGATGCCATTCTGAAAGATGGTACATCCTGATTTTCTAACCTATATACAATAGGTTGTCTCTGTATTCCCAGGGGATTTACTACAGGACCCCTTGTAGATACTAAAATCTAAGGATGTTCAATCTCTTAATAAAATGCAATAGTATTTGTATGTAATCTGTTACACATCCTTCTGTATACATTGTTTTTTTTTTTTTTTATGCATTGCTCAGATTCCTTGAATTCTCTTGCCTTAGCTACTGAGTGCTGGGCTTAAAGGCACAAAACTGGCTTTCCCTTTAAGTATTCTCCAGATTGCCTATACTTTATATTGCATAAGTCATTCCGATGCTGTATTGTTTAGGGGATGCCAAGTAAAGTGAGTCTAAATTGTTCAGGGTGCATTTTAAAAAAAAATTTAAATGTTTTCCATTCACATTTGGTTGAATCCATGTGTATATATCATTTATATTATGTTTGTAGAGGTTTTAAAACTTGTCAGTTCTGAACAACATCCTCAGGTATCAGGTTATATATGGAGTTCTTTTTATTAGCAGGATGGTTTAGACATGGATTTTTTTTAAATCCATATTTTCTTTTTTATAGCAGGAAGTCATTTTTAGCTTCAGAGTTATTGTTTTTCCATATATTGTGCTTAGGGGTATTGACCTGAGATGGAGGAAGCTGGGGTTTAGCCAAAGACTCCACTTGGTTTTAGGCATATATCATTTACATGGGTCTGTTTCATTGCCTACTACTGTGTAAATAGCTAGCTTGTCATGCCGGTTGCCCACAGATACATGTAATGTACATGATACAGGTCTAATGGATACAAAGATGCTTAGGGATGAAAGGTCACATAGTTTTTAAATCATGGATGGATGTGCAGATTAAGCCATGTAAGTATGTTTGAATCCCTAATTCAGAAGCTGGTCTTCATGTTTGCAACATTTTCAGTTATTTCATTTGCATTCTTTTTTCTTTAATTCATCATGCATAATTGATAGCACCATATAATTTGTGGCAGAGAACACAGTGAAATTTGTAATGTGACAGTATGAATAGCTAAGACTGTCAAAATATGTCAGCCAAGCTCTGTAATTGGGCTCATTTCTGTCCTTAAACTTTAGTTGGATGGATAAAAATACCATTTTCTTCTGCTTGCCTATGACAAGTCTAGTGTTTCTGCTGCATTGTCACATGTATCGCAGCATTGCTAAGCTTTCTAATCAAAATTAGGTAAGATTTGTCTTGCTTATTGAAACACATTAAAGTACGTTCTTTTTTGAGGGGCATGTATCATTTTGCATATAAATTGATTGGCAAGAAGAAATTCTGAATTGCAATGTAAAGAGTGGGATTTTTAATTATAGCTTTTGTGTATCTGTATATACATATGTGTATGTATGTGTGTATTATGTATGCATGCACATGTACATGAATATGGAGACTAGAATTTGACATCAGGTGTCTTCTTCAATATCTTTACACTTTATTTTTTGACCTTATTTAACCTGCAAGGTCTAGGAATCCTCCTGTTTCCATCTCCCCAATGCTGAAGTTACAGGTGCCTTCTGACATATCTGTCCTTTTATGTGGATGCTAGGAATCTGAACAGATCCTAATACTTGCAAGCTTCATTACTGACTGAGCCATCTCTTCAGCCCTATTTATAGCTCTTATAATCAGAACAGAGACCATTGATAGAGCCTCTTTGCTTTTATAGTTAAAAAAAAAAACAATCCTAGACATGAGTCATTTTAAAATTAGTATATCTTAGTTGTATAAAGGGGTCTTAATTATGACATTTCTGTACATGCTTATATGCTTTGATCATTTTTCCCTTCTATTATTACCCTTTTTTGGACCATCTAGCCTCTCTTTTCTACTTCTGTATTCCTAATAGTAAATAGCCCCCATTTACTCTCATGTCCTGTCTTATTTTTTTTTTAACTAAAAATATATTTATCTTTTTTTACCACCTTCTAAGCCCCCCCCCCCCTTTAAATTTTAGAGACAGGGCCATCAAACTCACTGTGTAGTGGAGGCTGGCCTTGCAGTAATTCTACTGCCTCAAACCTTCTTGTGCTAAATCACAAGTAAGCAAGACCTGGATGTTATTCATGATTATTTTGTTCATTGGCTGACTTGCTCATGTTTTGTAACTAAAAACAAATTTAAGAGAACAAATAATTAATATTAACTGCAGTTAAACAAATATGACGCAACTAGTCAATATGGTAAGGTTCAGAAAGGTGAATAAGACAAGGCAAGTGATTTAAAGAAATGATCTAATGGGATAAGAAAAGATAAACTTAGGAAATTGCAGGTAGACTTAGAAAGTTGCCAATGGGGATATATGAGTTAGTTAATGGAGCCTATTGGAAAAGCATGTTAAATGTATATAACTGGGACAATTTGACATTGTCTTTGGAAAAATTATTCTTTTGATTTTGTTTTAGACAACTGACAAAACAAAGGTCTGGATAAAATACGAAACATGAAAAATGTTTTTCAAGGAAATATTAAATACTGTATTCAAGGAAGATGGAAGCAAGGCTATTCTAAATAGAACACAAATAGCAATAAAGTGTAAGAAGAAAAAAAATTAGTGTATTAGATTACATTAAAGACTTCTGTTCAGGAGGCTAGAGAGATGGCACAGTTAAGAGCACTCACTTACTGCTTTTGTAAAGGACTCAGTTCCTAGCCCCCACATGGTGGCTTACAGCCATCTACAACTCCATTCCGTGTTCACCTGAACTTGTGGGCACCAGACATGTATGGTGTACATGCATCCATGCAGCAAATCTCTTCCATACATAAAGTAAAAACGAATCTAAATTTTGTAAAGCCACAAAAATCATGTTATTTTATATATAAGTGTGTATGTGTGGTTTCAGGGAAGTTTTGCCACTTAGGATGATAATGCTACCTGCAAGAGCCATAGACTAACACAAATTCCAAGACTAGGTATAAGAAACCTGCTTTTGGGTTGTTGGCCAGCTGAGTCCAAGAGGCTTTTCAAACAATATGGGCTGTTGCTACTGCATTTGGTTACCTCTCAGAGAGTAGGAAAAAGTCCCAATTGCTGAAGACACCATACACTTCAGATACAGGACTCAGAAGATTCAAACTGGATCTGACCTGAACACTTCCTCCCTGAAGACGAGCTTTGATAGTATCTGAAGGTGCCATAGAATCTGCCAAGGGAGGGGTACAATCAGTAAACCCACCCAGCTGTGATGCCTTTGAACCGCAACAATGGCCAACATGTCATGCCGTCCCAGAATGTTCAATAGTGGCAGTTACCGCTTGCCAGTGACCAGCAGCTGTGTGATTAGACTCTAGGTCCACTCAACAGGAAGGAAATCATGCCTAGCAGTGAGGGAGGCCATGGCTATAGAAGAGTACCTGCTACTACTTAGTCCACGTCAGTAAACCATCATAACTTCCCCATAGCATTCTAAATACTTAGCCTTATATCCATACACAAATGTAGCTCTCAGTCCTCCTCAAAAAAGTTCCTCTTTTCAGCTGATGGAGACCATTGCAGAAAACCACAAGTGGTCAAAATGCAGAAAACAAGCAATCATGGGGTGCCCAGCCATAGTGGATATGATATCTACAACACAGTTCCTATACCCAAGGCTCAGGGAACATCTTAAAAGAGAAGGCAGAAAAATCATAAAAGCCAGTAGACCAGGAAATGTACTGTGAAATTGTGTTTCCTAGAAATGAAAGGGAAGCTATACCCATGATATCTCAAAAACATGGCTGTCTAAACAAGACCTGAACATTGGCAACACCAATGTCAATGTGGAAGGGGGAATTCTCATGGGACCCATCCCTAGACAAAGAACTGCAGAAAACTAATGACTGCTGAGAGAGGGAGAATTAATATTCCTTAGGGCTAAGCCCCCTAATTGGTTATCCAATACCAAGTTGTGAACCCTGAAATTATATAAATACAAGCAATACTAAACAGACTTGAGAACATGAGAGGAGTTGAAGAGAGAAGGAGTTGGGGAGATGATGTGGTTATGTTTTAATTAGAAAAAAAAAGTTTTATCTACTTTTACATGACAGCATGCAGAGGGCATGCTCAGGTCTAAGCCAGAAGAAGTCCCAGCACTGAGAGAGGAAGTGGACACAAGCCCCATCCCTAACCCAGAAGCTGTATCCAATCAATAACCACTCACAAAAGAAAAGTTAGTTTTCTCCAACAGAGTCTTACTGGGTATACAAACAACTCTTAAGGACAGACCACGTGCCCAGTAGTAGATGGCCAGTACAAGTGAACTCTTGGAGTTTCCTTGTCTCATAATGTTTTGTCTGGACATTACTTATTTTTTAATTAATTTTATTTTTTGTTACAAGTCTTTCGCATATATATTATGGTTTCCAGCCTCATGTTTTTATGGGATTTTAGTGTGTGTGTGTGTGTGTGTGTGTGTGTGTGTGTGTGTGTGTGTGTGTATGCATCTGTATGTGTTTCTTGTGCTTTTTTTTGGGGGGGGAGCTCTTTTTCTTGTGTATTATTTTTTTATTTTATTATTATTGTTTAGATGCCTGTTTGTATTCTAAAAAGAGAGAAAGAAAGGATGTGGATTTGGGTGGATGGATAGGGAGTTGAGGTGTTGGGGGAGGGAAAACACTAATCAGAATATATCTTATAAAATTTATTTTTAATTAAAAAATACTTTTAAATGCTCAACAGGAGACTTAGAGACAAAGCCTAAAGCATATAGTTCTTGTATTCCAATATCCCAATGATTGTACTTTATAAATGAATTTTTAATTTAATTTGTGGGTGAAAAGCTTATCCAACTGGATTCTGTTTCAGTCCATCCTCATTTTCTTTTGATTAGTATTTAGTGCTGGTACTCTTATGATTGTATGTTAGTTGTACTGCCACTTGCTTTCAGAAAAGAATCTTACCTCTGCAATGTCATAGTTCTCATGTTTAAGAATAAATTCTAAGGTATGTATTGTCCCAAGCCCTATTTAAAAAATAAACATTCCCCTCAAAAAAAGAAATTATGAAGATATTTAAAATGCATATAATGAGGGATTTATATTGAAAATATTATGAAGAAAAATTCTGATCTATTAGAAAAGACAGGTGATCTATGGGAAAACTGACAGTCATTACTCAAAAGAATGTGAGTCGTGACTCACAGACGTCATTAATCATCAGTGAATATAAATCAAAACTGGTGTGATACTACAACATACCCTCCAGAATAGCCACAATCCTGTATGCTAGTGAGAGTATGAGTACACTAGCCTTACTCATGTACTAGTAGGAGAATAAACCAGTGTAAAGACTGAAAAATTATTCGATATTGTTTAAAGCTGAATCTGAATATACTTTAATTTCAGTTCTCATATAGCCATCCCAAATATGTAGATAGGTTTCTGGAATTTTTTTCCCCTAACCTCAAATTATTTAATAACTATTAAATTATTTAATGTAAATTTATCTCTAATGGCTAGCAAAGATTATTCACTTATCTATTGCTTAGATTTTTCTTGAAATCTAGCGTGTCTGTAGAAAAGCTTAGAAGTCTTTAAGCTTTGTTTATTGGATTGTCAGAGTGCACAGGTCATGAACTCAACGTTGATATGAAGAAATGGAAGGCTGTCAGTACCCCGGAAGTTCTTTTTATGTTCCTTCCAGTACTAGGCCCTGTCTGCCATTGCAAGCAAGGGCTACACTCTCCTCATTTTTGGCACTGGATGTTAGTTTTATGTAGTCTTCAGTAGGATCATATGCTAATAACCTTTGTCTACTTCTGCTGCCCAATACTGTGATTGTGAGATGCATGTATGTTGCTGCATGCAGCTGAAGTTTGCTTGTTTTCACTGATCTAACACTGTGATTATGCTTTAACCAGTTTATGTATGGTACTGTTTGGCAGCCATTTGCGTAACTGTCAATATTTGACTGTTAATTCGTAAACTTTTCTTTTTTCTGCCTTGTTATTTTTTTCTCATGTTCTACAGCTCAGTTTAATTATTAAATCTGTTTCTCACTGTTTTGTATATGTCTTGTTTAATTTTCTAGACAGCTTTTATTTTTCTGTTGCTGTGTACAATGTCTTATATAAAATCTTTTTTGTTTATATAATTTTATTTTGCATGTATTCTTCTTAAATAGTGTAAAATTATTTCTGGGTTCTTTATTTCCTTGTTTCTTAGATATAACAAACTCTCAACTTAAAAAAAAAGAAAGAGAAAAGCACCAAGATGGGTGAAAAGAAACCAGAGCCTTTGGACTTTGTAAAAGATTTCCAGGAATACCTGACACAGCAGACGCATCATGTGAACATGATTTCGGGATCAGTTAGTGGAGACAAAGAAGCAGAGACTCTTCAGGGAGGTAGATTTATTTTAATACTATTGAAACATTCACATTTGTAAGTGTATTAATGTTCATGTATAGCTTTTCATTCTGTGAACATCAGTATCCACTAATGTAGATAATTTTTTTTCTCTTTCTAGAAAGATGCAAGGCATTTTCTCCCTTCTTTTAACATGCACATTTTGCTGATTTAATGCAGTCTAGAGAACTGTTACAGTCTTGTTGAAAGGTTAGCGCTTCTAAATCCCTTGTCTGCCCTTCATATTGTTATCTGACAGTCAATTCAAAAAAACCCAGAGAATTTGTCCATTAGTCAACATGAGTTAGACCTGAGCCTCAACCAGGGATTTCTTCTCTTTAAGCGAAAGAAAGTTGGCTACATTCACCCATTCAAGAACAGAAACTACATTAGATGAAGCAAAGATTTGGTGAGACTGCTAGGGATGAAGTTTCTGTAGTTTATGGATCACATAAACCATTCTTAACCTAGCTCAGAGTCACCTGAGTACCACCCACGGGCCTCATCTAACTGCTTTCCGATAGCTTTGCAGTCCAAAAATTGCTTTGTACACTTAAAAACTATTCAAAGAATACAAAAAGAATATATATATATATATATAATATGTGAAAATTATATGAAATTGAGATCTTATTGTTCATAAATAAACACATGCTTACTTTTACATTTTCTAGCTTGTTTGTACTGCTGGGGACCGACATCTATTGCACACACTAGGCAAGTGCTGTACAGTGAACTACATTCATCCCCCGCTTGCTTCTTTTTTATAGCTGCTTGTATGGTACAGAAGAAGAGTTGGGTGTCGTGGTAGAGACAAAATCAACCTAGATTTAAGTGTTTACTATCTCAGCCCTATAGAGAACATTTGCTGGCCTCTGACCTAGATCTTATAAGCCATAAAAATACAGGGACTGGCAGCAGTGATCAGGTGTTATCCCCCAGAGTTGTGTTGGAAACATAAGTACCAGGTCCTGCTTGGATCTAGTGATTCAGTTTATTTTATTAAGATCTCCCAGTGAGTGATGCACACATCAAAACAGTAGGAAAACAGTGGGAGAAAGCTTGGTCTCTCCAACTGGTTTCTTTTGGACCAATTTGCTGGACTTGCCTGTGCCGGCAAAATTATTTCTGGTAAAGGGCAAAAGAAAAGTAATAGGGTTTGAACTGGGCATGTGAGAACTACACCTCCTGGCATCGAGTTGAAGTCAATTTCCCGTGAAGAAGGAGGAATACAAATTTTGCCTCTTACTACTAATATGAACAGATTCCAGGACTGGGATTCAAGAGGCTAGCGTATATACATGTGTGGTTCCTAATTATGAGTACCTGCTCCTTCTGCTTCTGTATACAAAGTTTGTCTGTTGAGATGAAAAGCAAAACACCCAAACATTTTAATTCTGAAATTCTTAGAGTCCTTACATCAGCGCTCTCAGATGCCTTGTTTTTCTTGTTGTGCTTAATTAGAATTTTAAAGTTCTAAATGTAACTTGGATTCTAGAACACAAGTAACTGACTAATATCCAATAATTGTTTTTAGAACAAAAGAAATTGAGTCAGTGTCTTAGAGCTGCTAATTAAAAATGTAGTCATGACCAGTATCATAGACACTACACCTTTGTGTGTGGCTTGTGATCTCACACTTGAAGGATCTCTTTATTCCTTTACATCTTACATGTTTTCTTCAAAAGCATGTGCGAGTTGGTAAGATGTAAATTTAAATAATTTGAGGGAAGAGATCTCTGCTCTTCCAGAGGTCCTGAGTTCAATTCCCAGAAACCACATGGTGGTTCACAACCATTTATAATGAGATCTGGTGCCCTCTTCTGTCATGCAGGGGTATATTCAGATAGAACAGTGTATACATAATAAATAAATAAATAACTCTTTTTAAAAAAGGACTGGCAAACATTAGAAAAAAAATAATTTGAGGTCCTCTTTAAAGGTTCTTAGAATATAATTCTATTTTGTATAAACTTTGTTGCAGTTCAAGAAGTCTGAATTGTTTTATGAATTAAACTCTTGGGAAGGAAGCTATCATTGTGTAGATGATCTTCAACCACTGAGTCTAAACTGTTGAACTGAGTTGATTCTGAGGTGCATGATTTCTTTGCTTTTGTTTACAGCTGGAACAGATGGTGATCAAAATGGACTTGATCACCCATCTGTTGAAGTTTCCCTGGATGAAAACTCAGGAATGTTAGTAGACGGGTTTGAAAGGACCTTCGATGGAAAGCTCAAGTGTCGGTACTGCAACTATGCCAGCAAAGGGACAGCCCGGCTCATCGAGCACATCAGGATCCACACAGGTGATGGAGAGAGGCCCTGCAGTGCAGGTCCACATAGTTCTCATGGTTCCAAACAAGGCTCAGCAAAGCTTGTTGGCCAGTAACTCCTTTTTTTTTTTTTTTTTTTTTTTAAACAAAGTGGTAGCTTAAAGGCCTACAAATACTGGAAAAGAGAGCTTTATCCTCCTCTGCATTCTTCTGCTTGATCTACATACTCTTTTACTGTCATTCTGCTGTGGGTTAGAGAGTTTACTGCTTTGCTTTTCTGTTCACAATAATGTTTGAACTGTAGAGAAGTGAAAGGCTCTAATACAGTTGCAGAGTGTACTTGCTACACCCATATGTTTTTGCCACCCCGTTGAGAAACCTTCCTAAGGATGCCTTGCCCTCACCCAAGCCCAGGTATCTTTCCTGTGTGCTCTATACCAGTCTGTGCCTCTTCATTACATCATGGCAACCTGAAAGCTTCCTGAGGACATCCAAAGGCCATCTTTGTACCCCACAGAGCTAGCAGGTATCTGGAATGTGCTAGGTGCTCTGTCCTTGTCAGATGAATGACTCTGGTCTCTCAGAACTAGAATAGGAAAGTGAAGGAGAAGCCCTACCAATTTCAAAGGGTATGTCCCATAACTCATATTTGGACCAGGAGTTCATTTTGATTTTGAACTTTCTGGTTTATATAAAGACTGCATTTTTTTTTTCAGGGTGGTTCTTCTCCTTGAAAAAAAAAAGTATTTATGCATAGATAGATCTGTGAACATATATTTGAAAGATACTGTTGACAAAAAAAAATTTGTTTTTGAGGGGGGTGGTTCAACACCGGGTTTCTCTGTGTAGCCCTCGCTGTCCTGGAACTCACTCTGTAGACCAGGCTGGCTTGAACTCAACAAAGATCTGCCTGCCTCTGCCTCCTTAAAGGCATATGCCATAGCTACCTGGCTGATAAATCTTTATTGTGTGGGGAATATTTTTTTTTTCTCCAAGTTCAGTTGAAGCTATAATGGTTTTCATAGCAAATAGAATCACAATATATACCACAAGTTGTTGCTAATGAATTCCTAAGATTTACCTTAGTTTTTAGGTTTCTTTGCAGATTTTACAAGCCTAATACACAATTATGCATTTCTGCAAAGCATTTTATTTTTTGCATCAATTCCTACATCCAGTGGACAAATATCAAAAGTCCTATAAATGAGCCATCCTGCAGTTTCTCCCATTTCTCTCCCCTACACAGGTGAGAAACCTCACAGGTGTCACTTATGTCCATTTGCATCTGCTTATGAGCGCCATCTGGAAGCCCACATGCGTTCTCATACTGGGGAGAAACCATACAAATGTGAATTATGTTCCTTCCGCTGCAGTGACCGAAGTAACCTGTCCCATCATCGAAGGCGCAAACACAAAATGGTACCAATTAAAGGTACCAGGTCTTCCTTAAGCAGCAAGAAAATGTGGGGAGTTTTACAAAAGAAAACAAGCAATCTGGGGTATAGCAGAAGAGCACTAATCAACTTAAGTCCACCTTCCATGGTGGTCCAGAAACCAGACTACCTTAATGACTTCACTCACGAAATCCCAAATATTCAGACTGACTCCTACGAAACCATGGCTAAAACTACACCAACCGGTGGCCTGCCACGGGACCCCCAAGAACTCATGGTTGACAACCCTTTGAATCAGCTCTCTACTTTAGCAGGACAGCTGTCCAGCTTACCACCAGAAAACCAAAACCCTGCTTCCCCTGATGTAGTTCCCTGCCCTGATGAAAAGCCTTTCATGATTCAGCAGCCCTCTGCCCAGGCAGTAGTCTCTGCTGTGTCAGCAAGTATTCCTCAGAGCTCCTCCCCCACAAGTCCAGAACCTCGGCCATCACATAGTCAGAGGAACTACAGCCCAGTGGCAGGGCCGAGCAGTGAACCAAGTGCCCACACCAGTACCCCCAGCATAGGAAACAGCCAGCCAAGCACTCCAGCTCCAGCCCTGCCGGTCCAGGACCCTCAGCTTCTACACCACTGCCAGCACTGTGAGATGTACTTTGCAGACAATATCCTTTACACTATTCACATGGGATGCCATGGGTATGAAAATCCTTTTCAGTGTAATATATGTGGATGCAAATGTAAAAACAAGTATGATTTTGCTTGTCATTTTGCAAGAGGGCAACATAACCAGCACTAAATATCATCAACATTATTCTCACTTGGTTTGGCCTTTTGGGGGTTTGTAGTTTGCTCTTTAGTTTTGATCATCCCTAATAAGGTATCTGCTCACTTAAAATTTATACATTCTATTCATAAAATAGAAGTTTGATAGTGAAAAGGGGTTTTGTTAACTTTTCATAAAAGTCTGGTCAGGATTATTTATGCATTAGATAGTCAGATGCATTGATATATATATATATTTTTTTTTTTCTTTTCATTTAGACCTGTGAGAGTTGAAGTACAGTTGTAATCTTACCAGGTGTTCAGTTTCCTACACTTGTTCTTAAGGACTCCCAGGGTTATCCGTACTCTTGATGCTTCAGTATATATATTACAGCTAAATATTCTTTCTGCCATATTTCAGAATGGCACAATAAACTTCTCATAAAATCTTTTACAACATTTCAGTGTTTATAGAAAAACTGCCTTCAAGTTTGCTCTTAATTAAAACTATTTTCGTTCACATAACTTAAGTTGAACTAGTTTCATTATAACCAAAACCAGTAGTTATTTCAGTATAATAAGTCTTTTCAAGGGGAAATATAAAACAGTTGTTTTCAAATTTGAATTATAAAAATGAAAGTTTTAGAAGTAGAAATTTGGGGCTAAATTGAAAATTGTGTTTGGTATTTGAGATATCTGTTCATTTAATTGTCTAGTTTAAACATGTTTTTCATATATATAATATATATATATATATTTGAGTATTATTTTAAAGCCACAGGTAAATATACTAGAGTGCTAGATGCCTTTTTCAATCCGAATCTTTCACTTAAATTCTCCATTCATTTATTACTGGTGTGAGGTAAGATTGACCACCATATAGATTTGTTCTTCCTAGTCTTTGATGACCAAAGAGGAAGTGGAACTCATCCTTCTTATTAAGATGCTTCAAAACAATCTCCAAAGTTTCCTTTTTTGCCTTTTGTACATTTATATTGTCCAAAATGTCCAAGAAAGGTGGGGATAGAAACCCAGAAAAATATGATGAGGAAATAGCTACAAAACAGAGATCATTCCCGAACAGATCCTGATTTCCTCTGTAGAGTAGGCAATGTAAAGTACTTTCTGTGAGTCTTCGTGGACAGTGACAGTGGGATAGTCACCATAGTGGGAAAGGATAAGGAGTGAAAGTTATTATAAAGCACATTTAAATGTGACATTTAATTTGTTTATAATTAGAGTGGTTCATTTTACACAGGAAGCTGTTATTTTTGTATTGTGTAATAAGTAGTTTACTTTAAAGAGAGCCTGACAAAACAATAAAACATTGTCACTTACATTGGTTTCTGTGTACTTTGCAAATTTTTCATTTGGTTAATATCTTGAAAATATTCCTAATTGGCTTCTTAAAGACTATCCTGTCAAGTATTTATTAACCAAAAATGGCCTCTTAAGTAAGTAAGAGGGAAATATTGATGGTGTCTACCCATTAAGCCCCAAGTGCCCTGTTTATGGATCTGTGCCCTCCAGTGCTAGAAAGCCATTCAGAGGGTGCCTGTGCTCACATAACCAGTCTTGGCTCACCCCACCTGCACTGTTAAAGCACAGCACCAAAGACACTTTCTCTGTGACCCTAACGTTCCAGTGATTTTGATCTGTAGTTTAAATCCCTCACTAGATTAGTTTTAGTGCAACACTTTGCAAATACATAACTTGACTGTCATGATTATCAGCATCCCAAAAGAAACAGGTTGTTTGAAAACTTTGCTCTTTTTTATGTTTGATTCAGCTTAAAGCAATACCCCCAAATAGACAAGGAAAACTTCCCTGAAAGAGGAAGAAGCCCAGTGTAGGGCTGCAGACCTGTAGTCCCAGCTCTTGGGAAGCTGAGGCAGGAAGTTTGCTAGTGCCCAAAAGTTCCCTGCCAGGCTGGGCAATACTGCAAGACACATCTCAAAGGCCAAACCACCTGAAAGAGCTCTCTGTAAGCTAGCTTTATCACCTCTCCATCCGGGGCCAAACAGTGACATGTGCATTTTGTCTTTCCTAACAACTAAAGATGAATGTTTTGAAGTACATTTCACTCTAAATATGAAAAAGACTTTTCATAATTACAAACTAGAAGGAAAAAATCCGAATTTTCCAATAACATGAAGAGCACAGTTGGTCTTCCAAAGGTGTTAATATATAAAGCTACAAATACTTTGAAATGCACTAAAAGTTTGAAGCAAATCTACCTTAGAAACATTTTTGAAATTGTACTTTTAAAAGATTTATGATTTTGCTTAAATATTCTGAGTTAAATTCTGTACTAGGAAAGATGTTAGGTTCTTTCCTTAAATACTAAATATGTTCCTCATTTTATTTTTAACCAAATGTTTTATAGAACTGAGTTGAGAAAAGTTTAACATGCACTATTTATAGTACTTTGCCATTAACAGGCAATGTTCTGAAACTAAATTTATTTTTGTTCAGTGAACATGAGTTTAGATTTTTAAAGTTGGTAATTTATCTCCACTAATATTTTTTTAAGAAACTGTGAAGAGATTAATGGGATAATTTTATTTCAGATTTTACTAATGTAGTGTGTAGCTAAAATTTCTTGACATTCAAGTGAAGACTAGACTTTCATTTTGAAATTTTTTCCATTGGGTAGTTCCAGTGCTGTTTCATTTTAGAAATGTGTTTGCTGTTCACCTGCAGAATTGTTTGACAAAGGGAATATTGCTAAAATAAAAACAAAAACAAAAAACCCAGGTAATTCTCTTTTAAGTTCTGCAAAAATACTTGTCAAATGAACTGTTACAAAAAATTTTAATTCCCTGCTAAAGACATTTTCATTAGTCTTAGGGAGTAGGTATATGCTTTATAGAACTTGTTTTTGTTGAAACCTGGATGTATAGAACATGTTTTCTATGCGAGGTGTAAATCTTGCATTACACTTGTAAGATACATTATATTGTTTAGGGATCAAGAAAGCAGTTTAATGCTGAAGTAACTATAGTATGTAGTTTCTATTGTGAATAATGCTTTGCTTTTGTAATGTATGAATAAAAATAACACTTTCTAATAACTTTTGTTTTTTGTTTTTTAAAACTAGAACCAAATCGATTTTTTTTTTTTAGTAATTTATGATACATAAAAATGTTAATAAAGGATTTTATGGCTGTCTAGTTTAAATTTCTAGAATCCCTTATGGAAACTTATCATGAGTTTACAACAAAAGAGCTCAATAGATCTAAAACTCATTTCTAATTGTCATAGCTTGAATGAGAAATGTGCCCCACAGGCTATTCTGTTTAAACAGTTGGGGCCATTGTTCCAGAAGGGTGTGGAACCTGGGGGATGTGGTATTTCTTTGGTGGAAGTCATCACTAGGGCAGACCTTGAAGATTTTAATCTGCCTCTGATTCTGGTCTAGAGCTCTTTGCTTCCTTGTCCACAGTGTGAGAAACAACAGCCTCAAGTCTTCTGCACCTATGTACAAAGCAAATCCAGTGGCTATGCCTTCCCCACCTGACGTACACCTGAAACTGTGAGCCCAAATAAATCTCTCCTCCTTTAAGAGGGTGTCCATCAGGTATTTTGTCATGGTTATATATCAATAACTAATACATTCCTCTTTACTCAGATCTTTATTTATTCCTGCTGTACATCAAGTGCCGATTATTATGCCACATCAGGAAGGAAGGCTGCCTCTTATACTCACTTATCTATGTCACATTTGACAAGTAGCTCACTGAGGTAATTTCTGGCATGCAAAATGGAATTTTTAGAATAGGCATTTTGGTGTGTGTGTGTGTATGTGTGTTCAGAATGGTCTACAACAGTTCATAATATTGGTCAAGAAAACATCCAGTCATACAAAATTGTTTGCAAAGGTTTACCCAAATCAGACATTTGACTAGAAATTCAGAAAGTTTAATGATGCTTTGAAAAGAACTTCTGCACAATAGTATCTCTCTCCTTACAAAATGAAGAAAGAACATCTGATAAGTCTGGGCTTCGCTGAATGCACAGGTATTTTCTGTTTCCTTGTCTTAGATCTTCCAAGAAGTCTGCTTTGAGCTTGTTAAGTTCTCCTGCTAGATGCTTCAGGTTATTAAGAGGCATCTGCTCATCTAAAAGAAAACATGTTCGCAGATTATTCCTTAAGTCAGTCTGGGCTGCCTCCTGCCATCAGTCATTTGATTACATCAAAGAAGCCAGATTCTCCAATAAGTAATTAGAATGTATTATAATGATTTGTATACAAGAAATCACATTAATGTGGCCTAGAAAAGTCATCTAAACAATAGCTACAGGGTTAGGGTTAGTATTTGCTCTTAAGTGTGTGAGTAGAAAAAGATAAGCCTGAAAAGATATATATTTTAAAGATTTTATTTAATATGTATTTGAATGTTTCTCCTGTATGTATGTATGTATGTATAAGCACCACTGGCATGCCTAGTGCTCACAGAGGCCAGAAGGGGGCACAAGATTCCCCACTGCTGGAGTTCAGATGGTTGTGAGCCAACCTTGTTGGTACTGGGAATTGAGTATGGGTCTCCTACAAGAATGACAAGTGCTCTTAACTACTGACTGACTCATCTCTCTAGCCCCTTAAAAGGATGTTTTTATAGATTCTCATTATGTAGACCAAGCTGACACTAAACTAGATAGATGGCATGCCTCTACTTCTTAAGAGTTCGGATTAAAGGCTTACAATACCACAGTAGGTTGTTTTTGAGCCAAGATATCTAATTTACTATCTTTTTCTTTAAAAAATAAACTGACAATTTGGTTTTTTTGAAGCTGATAAATAATACATTTGAACAGTTGCCCATGCAACTTTTTATGATGATGGAAATGTTCTTCTAGGCATGGCCATATGGATAGTGTTACTGAGCATCTGAAATTAGCTTTAGTGAGATATAACTCACCGTAAATGTACCCCATTGAAACTGTAATGGTTTAGCTTGCATAATGACATTTGCTTTTAACCCCCTTCACTGGGGAGGCAGAGGCACTGGGTCTGAGAATTTAGGCTAGCCTGGTCTACAAAGAGTTCTAAGACAGCCACAGCTACTTAAGAGAGTCCTTGTATCCAAACAAACAAAATAAAAAGTAATGGCTTTTAGATTACTCACATACATGTGATCATCACCAAAGTCAAATTTAGAACATTTTCATAACTTAGAAGCAAAGCCTGGGTCCTCTGACAATCACCCTTCTCAACCCCACTTCCCTAATTCCGACCCACAACTCTTAGCTATCCTGTCTTGATTTCCTGGTTCTGGGTGCTCATATGCTCTTTCAGTTGTTTTCAAGGTTCCCCACATTCTATCCTGTTTCACTATTCTAGTCTTATTCATAGCTAAATAACATTCCATTGTATGGGCAACCACACTGTATCTACCCATTTATCAGGTAATGGACAGTTGCGTCGTTTTTACCTTTTGGCTGTTATGAGTAGTTCTGTTAAAAATGGCTTGTGTCAACATAATTTTCCCTCGAACCTATCACCATGGAGCAGAATAGCCGGGCCACATGGCAGCACTGGAAGAACTGCCCGGGTGTTTCCAAAGCAGCTGCATCATTTTATATTTCCACCAGTAGAATATGAGGGTCTCAGCAAGTCTCAGACCTCCTCCTCCTGGCCATTCTAATGGCTGTGAAAAGTTATCTCCCAAGATTTTGGTCTGTATTTTGCTGTTATTTAATTTTAAATATGTTTTCCTTTGAATATTGGCCAACTCTGTATCGCCCTTGAAAAAAAATGTCTATTTAGATATTTATCCATTTTAAAATTGGGTTACCTGTGTGTTACTGAGTGGTAAAGATTTTTCTATATTTATATTTATATATGCAATTTTCTCATGAGACATTTGCAAGTGTTTTATCCCATCTGTGGGCTGTCACCTCATCTTCTTGATGGCAGAGAAATGGAATTTTAGTTTTATTCAAGCACACATTTAGAAACTAGTATCTACTCTCCTTTCCTCCAGAAAAGTCTCCATTTTTCCAGTAGGTGTGAATGGTGAGTGATTTGGGCATAATACATAATAACAAGAGGCAAACAGCTGAGAACTAGAATGGTTTTTTTGCCTTGTTTCTGTTCCAATTCTCTGTTAAAATTTTTGGATTGTAATTCATTAATGAGAGGCACTGGGTGTTTTTCTAAACTGAGAAAATAAATAAAACATTCCATTAAATATGGGGATGTGTTTCTGAACCTTGTTTCCACATGTCTATACACTATTATACATGGTTTACACTGTAACACCTATGTATGCTCATAGACAAGAGTTTGAGAAGCATGGTATGGTTAATATGTGTCCTTTCCAGTGTCCTTAGGTTTTATGAAGGTAACAATAACGGCGGGGTTGCATAACAACAGACTGGAATGAGAATTCACTTCATCCCAGGTCGCCCTCAAGTGTAGCAGCTGTTCAGACTTGGGAAAGTTACTTGATTCACGGTGAACCTCCATTTCCCATTTATAAAATTATACCCACCTTACATGATTATAAAGACTAGAGTATAAACATTTAGCACATCAAAGAAGTAAAATGTTAGCTGCTGTTTTCTTTTTAAAACATTTCAAACATAGCAAGAAGTTAAATATTCAAGACCAAAAGCAACTACTGAAAAGAGCTTTAATTACCATATATCTGAAGTGGTTACTTGTTTAAAATATTATTCATATTTATAATACAGTGACCTTGTTCAAATCTCATTCTAGTCTGACTCCTGACCCTGGACTACCCTTAACCTCTAAGCCACCTCTCCAACACCCTAATTACTTTTAAAAATAAGTCTACCACTCTACTTCAGGGGACTGACACACACACAATTTACCATTCTGTCTGTATCCTCACTAGAAAGTTCTGCTTCCTATTGATTTCCTGGTATCTAAGAAAAGGTCTAGTGAAAAATAAAGAGGCCACTCAGTAAAAATGAGTGAAATGGATGCATACCCAGTCTCAGGGGATGGTCTAGCTATAAAACCAAACAGTAAATGAGAAACTGAAATACTGACATAAACTCTGGCATAATAAATCTTTCTGGTGGCAAGGAAATGGCAGCAGCAAGAGAGATCACCCCAGCAGCTAAACAGCACAGAACTAGTCAACATACCTTTGGCTTCCTTCATTGTCTGAGAAACGGTTCTTCGGAGTATCTCGTCAGCTTTATGGAGGATGTTAGTAGAACAAATAATTCTATCTGCTTCCTGTGTAATACAGACAATGTTATTGGGAATACTTTATAAGTGAGCAAGGTATAGACTCATTTGAAGGGACCAAAAGAAATTCTATGGTGGTTTTGTGTTTGTTTTCTCTCACAGAAGCTCCAAATGAATCATGTCCAGTTGTAAAGGGGTTTGCTGGTGAGTGTGCAATAACTGGCTTTCTAGAAATAGAAACTTCCTGCAACCTATATGCAGTGTTTCTGTATGCTTGATATGAACACTTCCATCTTTGTCCATTTTAAGTCACCAGCATAAGGTTCCAGCATTCCTGAACATTTACCATGGGGCTTTGACCAGCTGGCACCAGGCTCACTGACAAAAGGCTGGTGCGGTGCTATTCTGCTAACAGACCATTTTTCACTTTTCTCTTGATATCATCAGCTCAAAAAGTTTCCCTACAAAAAAGTTATTCCTTCTCATATGCACCAAGTCTAACTGGAATATTTACCTTTTGTTCCGTATTGTCCTCAACACATTTTATGGGATTTTCCAAAGCAGTAAGCAACAAATCAGTCACCTCTGGGCTACGGAGAAAGTGAAATAAAGTATAACAAATCTTTCCATAAGACCTTTGTTTTTTAAAGAACCTGAATTAAAAGTATTAGGTTGAACTCAGGAGAGCAAAACTTCTATCATCCAAGGGCCTTACTGAAAGGAAATAAACTAAGTAATTTGGAAGCCATCTTCCATTTGTAAAACACTGAGTGAAGCTCTAAACAAATTACAAGCCATTCCTACCTCATACGAGGTTAATTTTCTAAGCTTACCAATAAGCAATCTCTTGCCCATTATGTCCTGGACTGTAGGTTTTTAAAACTATTTTAGTCCTCAGAGGAAGATGGTGTTTTCTTCTGGCTTCTCCTTATTTACTAGATAAGGATTAACAAATCTGCTCACTAGCCAAGGGTCCCTAGGAACTCAAGTAGAATTCGTTCATTCGGTAAATATGCAATTGAGCATTTTGTATGTAAATGTTGTAAAGCTACATACGTGAAACTGCTAATCTGGGGTTATAACAAGGTGCCCACCACTTCTCCCCAGCATTCCATTTCCACTTGCAATTTTTCCAGCTGCTCAGCCATCCTTCCAACCTTTTTTGAAACAGAATATAGGAAGGGTAAAAGAAAAACAAAACAAAAAATCTTCTCTGTGAGCAAAGCAAGGGATATCCCAGCAGAAGCAGCTGCAATAATTTTTTTGCTGGCACCCTGAAAATATCCACCCTTTGTCCACTGCTGTTTCCTCTACAGCATCTGAAATCAGATTCCCCATTCTGCCTAGCCATACTTCTGGTGCTGCTTACTAACTGGTGTTTGCTACTTTGTGGGTTCTTCTTTCTTCCACCTTTTAAACCCCCTAATACTAGATAGGAGAGGAAAAGAAGGGTAGAGAGGAAAGGGGACACGCTATCGTTAAGACTATTTCCTATAGGTTTTTAGGGGGCAAGTTTGGGCTTCACCGTCAGGATATCTAATTTCTTTTCCTCTCTTTGCTTATGACTACGACCAACAGCAAACAATAGCATCCAACCACCAACCAGCCAGCCCATCCATGGGAGCTCTAGCATTTACACATCTTCTGAAAAGTTCCCAGAATTCCAGACATCATACACTTGCAGAAACTATCTGCAGCTTGCAAAATCATGTCTCTGCTAGAGCACAACGCAAATCGTAGCTGCACCTGGGATTAAAACAAAAAACATAGTCTTATAATATTGCTTTGTGTGTGTGTGTGTGTGTGTGTGTGTGTTTAAAGAAACCAAAATTCAAAATTCTCACTACAACAACCTAGTTAGGCAACTTTAACAAGAGTACCAAAAGACTGGACTCTCACTAGACTGGCTGGTCAGTGAGCACCACCCTACTCAGTGCTGGGATTACAGACATGAGTAGCTGTGCCCGACTTCACATAAGTGAGCTCAGGTCCAATGCAACAAGAACTTCACCCCATTATCTCCCCATTACATTACAGTTTGTTGGAGACATTAAAATTCGAGCAGTAGGGAGGGTGGGATTGGGAGGGAATGAGGGAGCGGGATATAGCTGGGATACGGAGTTAATGAAATGTAACTAATAATAAAAATAAATAAGAAATTTGAGCAGTTAAAAGCAGGCATTTACTAAGAAGCTTGGATTCAAATCTCAGCTGTTACAAGTTTGGTGACCCCAGACAAAATAAACTTTCTCAGGTTAGTTTGCTCCTCCACACAATGCCTGTGGAAGAATGGTCAATCCCATACAGTTAGGCATACGTTTTACAAAGTGGCTTAGAGTAAGATACCTGGCCTCCAAAAGACATGCTGAACTCTGAATTATGAGGCTGTTGTGTTCCCAGGCATTTTTCTCAGGGTTGGGCCTCTCTATCTTTCTCTCCATGAGGTAGATGACCTCCTTAGGCAGTGGTTGTGGTCTCTCGCCATTCCTCTTCAAACACGTTTCCAGGGAACAATCTAAAAAGAGCTGGCAAAAGCCCAGCGAATCTGAAAACAGTTTTACAAAATTACCAAATTACTGGCCTGTCTCTCCAGAAAGGTGAAATAAATATATACTAGTCCCAAATGAAATAGGAATACTAAACACCCACTTTAAAAATTAAATCCATATAGGTCCAATCGAATTTAACTCTCACTAAAGGCAGCTGTGATTTTGCTACCTGTGAATCGATGTTGCCATGTGTTAAAAAAAAAAAAAAAGTTTTAATTACATTTCCGAGCCAGTTGGTAGACTTCATATCTCATACTTTGGTAATAAAAGTTGTCGTCCAACACCAAAAACAAAGGTTTAGAAATAGGTTTTGCCAAGAGGTGGCAATGCTGGGCCTCGGGTGATGTAGAAAAGATCAAATCTTGTTTTTTTAAGCAGGTGATAAAATCTTCCCACACGGCTTCAGTCCTGTTGGGTGGGGCAGACATCTGAGTCTCACTAATAACTGCCATGAGGAAGCATTCCAGGTGCTTTAGCAGTTCTTGTCGAAACATTTTCCATCGGGATGGCTACAAAAACAACAACAAATTGAAACTCATATTAGGCTTTGGCCAGTAGTCTGGTCATCTTGTCTCATTGCCATTCCGTCCCCATTTAAGATTTCAGCTCACAATACTGAACCATTTGCCATTCTCAACAGACACCTTCTTTCTCATACCTTCCTGTCTTCATCGGTCCTGCCCCCTCTCTCCCTGGAATATTCCCAATGCTCCCAGAGCTGTGTGAAGCTGTCTCAGACTCAATCATGTAGAAGGCAATCCAGCCCTAATCTGTACATTGTCCCTACTCTAGCAGGACTCACATCAGTTAGGTACCTATGTGCACCTTCCTGTCTCTCCCTGCTAGATCACCCCACCTCCAGCAGAGAGGCTGACACCTTACAGGTGTTCCAGAAATGTATTTTAAGTGAATGAATGAGTGAATGAATACATGAGAATGAAAAACATTTACCATATAGGACCACAAAGGAGCCATAATCAATATCCTGCTGAATGATAACAGCCTAAAAATAATAATGTTGGTTTGTCCTTGAAATGAGTAGGGATACTGACCCCAAGACAAGACAGTTGGAAGGTCTTCTGGTCTAGATTCGAATACCTCAGGCTAACAACCGGATTGTGAGATTGGGAAGGATGGCAGAAACAGATAGGAGGAAGAAAACAAGGAGCTTGAGAATAAGTTCTGACATCTAGGCTGGAGGAGATAGAAAAGAACAAGAGTCCTCCAGCTTGTCCACACAAAGGCACAGCAGATAAACCCACTGAAAAGGAAATTTGTACTGTTTCCTAAAGGGTAGAGATTTCCTAATCACAGTACCAAATAAGAGCTATAGGGGGAGAGGAAAGAAATATACAGTAATAAAGGTGAAGGAAAAATCCTTATCAATAACTTTTACCTTTTTCCACAGTGGTGAGAATACCACCATACAACTAACTCCCAATTACAGTACTGTTTTGACCCCCTCACAATCAAAGTTGAAGCAAGCAGATATATTATGATGGAGAAGTAATTTTTTTTCATTTGACAAATACATTGTATCTTTGTATTACTTATCTTTGTGTGTGTGTGTGTGTGTATCTTTGTATATATTTACAGAATAGAGTCATCCTATTTGCTTTGAACATGTCTACACTCAGACACTAACCATCAAATGTTAACAATTTAAGATTTCGGAAGACATTTGCTTTGGAGTAAGTATGCCACTGGAGACCGGACTCTATTCTGCCACGCGCTCTGCTTCCACAGGTGTGCATATCACTGGAGTGAACGTATATGGATTAAGAAGTATATACTTGACACATACAATTCAAGCTTTATTATTCCATCTGGCTGTCAACCAAGAAAGCACCACCTTTTTCTAACTGGTAGCAAGCCCAGGCCCTTCATTTTGTCAGTTTTTCCTGGAGGGACCTGACAATTTTGTTATCTATCACTTGTATTCTTTATTCTCATGGGAGTTCCAAAATGGTGCAGCGCTGCAGTTCTACAAAATCTGGCTTTAACCGGCTATAAGTAGAAATTTTTAAAAAAGAGATCCCTTCCTTAGGCCCTAGACTCTAATAGGAAGAAAATACCCAAGGGATTATTATCAGGAGGTATGTGACTAGGACGTTCACCTCTTTGAGTAAACTCAAAACTTGATTGTGCCATAGGACTCTTGGGGATGGCACCTGTATGTAGTCCCAGATAAATAATAGGCGGGGTCAGGATGATCCTTGAGCCCGGAGTTTGAGACTAACCCAGGCGATATAGCCAGGCCTCATCTTAAAGCGCCACTCCATAGAATGTGCAACATGAAAACCTACCAAGCTTGCATAAACACCGCTATAAAGCATGGCCCTTAACCCGGTACAGTACTATTCCGAAACGCAGGTCTACAGAGCGGATCTAAACCGCTCCCCAAGTCTCCAGCTCCTGTCAGTTTTCCCCTCCTACACAGACACTGCCGGATCCAGGGCGGCTCGCCGTCAACCACCCACGGCCCCACCGCCTGGGCCAAGCCTGCACACCCGTCCCCACCCGGTGCTGACCCGAGGCTGTGTGCCTGCGCCGTCCGGGAGTGCTTGGGGCAGCACGTCGTCGTAGGAGAGGACGCCGATAGCCCAGCCCCGCTCCCGCCGCAGCTGCAGGGCCAGCGCACGCGCGAAGGTCGACTTTCCGGCCGCCGGCAAGCCACAGAGGACGCACAGTCCCAGCTTCGGCCATCCGTCGCTGCGAGTGGCCCCAGACCGCGCCACAGTCTTCATGCCCTAGCTGCTGCCTCCACAAACCTCTGCGCACGGTGCGCATGCGCACTGCCCCAGCACACAGCCGCGACCTCTGAAGACACCTTAAAGGAACAGCACAGGATGCAAGTCCGGAGAAGATGCTTTGGTCCTGGCTGCTACCCAAGCCGCCTTCTGGACCTTGTGAACGACGGGTGTCGGCTGTCCCTGACGCTTAGGTCGGGGAGCCCTCGTCTGTTCTTTTCATAACTTCTGGACACTCTCTAAGGGTTCCAGAGCTGGGTTTACTCCAGATAGACTCATTCCCCCTACTCCACCATCAAGCCATTAGGGCTTCCTTTTTGGTTTGGTTACGATGAGGTTTCTCTGTCCAAAAGAGAGACTGGAAACTTCTTAAGGAAGGCTTTGAAAGGTAAAGTGTGGGAAATCAAACAGCAGGCGGCGAAGCGAAGACGGCATGTTTCTGCTCTTCCTGGACTTGATGGGTGCAAGGCTTGAGTGTTCGTTACTGAGTCCTGGTGCCGCCAGGAGGCGGCAAGTGAGAAGAAATAAGAACAAGAAAACACACATCCTTATCCCATTGCATGCAGGCAGAAGACATAGGGATTATCAATAGATTTTGTTGTTTTTGTTTTGTTTTGTTTTGTTTTTAAAGTGGTAGGGAGCTTGGGAGTTGGGATATAATCCCAGAATTAGGAAGGCAGACGCAGGAAGAGCAAGAGTCTGAGGCCAGCCTATGCTACATGGGACCCTGTCTCAACCTTCTTACCCCTCCTAAAAAGCAAACAAACAGTGGAGAACTACCAAACAGGAAAAATTTCGTGGTTTGGGTGTGGTGTAAGAAAAATAAACTTAAATTCTACTTTGACTACCTTTATGGTTCTTTTTACTAATAAGAGATGTGTTCAAACTGTGGTCAATACTCAAGGATCGAATCAGTGTGCACTGAAGTGAAATACAACTGATACATTCAGTCTGTTCTGGTACATGCCTCTGGAGGTGGTGTTAGGAGAGTCACAGCAAGTTCAAGGCCAGCTTGGTCTACAAATAGAATACCAGACCAACCAGAGCTAGTGTGAGACCTTTTCTCAAAAGACCAAGCCAAAACAACAAAACAAACAAGAAGCAAAACCCAAATGATAATCTGGTGCTAGGTCTGATGTAATCTGTAGTGATAAAGGCAACACATATTCTCTGGCTCTCTTTTGGATGAAGATGAAAAGAATGTGGTCACATTCATTTCCTTTCACGTGTTGCCACTGGCCCAATACAAGGTCATATCCTCAACCATTTGCTTTTACCCTTCATCCTCTGTACCCACACAAGTTTCCTTGTTTTCTCAGGCAACAAAATCATGGCTATTTGGGGGAGATTATATGCATAGGATCAGCTATTTTTTTAAACCTTTGTTGTTGAGAATTCCATACAGGTATGCAATGTAATATGAGTTTATCCCCATCATTGTCTTCCTCTAACACCCCCTCATCCCTGTCAACATGTCTCCCTTCCAACTTCGTGCCTTTTTATTTATTTATTTATTTATTGTTACTCATTGATTCCAGTTTAGTATAGTGTTTCAGTTTGGGGGAAAAAGAAAGATGGCTAAACTGATAAGAACACTTGACCTGAAAACATGAGTTTGAAGCCTCAGCATCCACGTCAGAAGGTGTGAATGGCAGAGCTGCTTGTGCCTGTAAACCAACATTTCAGGTTAGAGACAGGTGACTCTGAGAGCTGGTGCTGTGCAAAACCCTATCTCAAAGCAATAAGGTAGATAGCCATAGAGGAAGACGCTTTCCTCTGTCCTCTGCATGCATGTACACAACTGTGCACACCCAGTCACATGATTGTGCAATGAATATAAGCCATACCAGCCCACACAGTTTTAAAGTTTACATTGAGGTCCACTTTTGAATTATATATTCTGTAGTTGTATTTTGAAGTGACAGCTATAAAACCCAAGGCTTCACATATTCTCAATAACTCTATCAACTGAACAATAATGTCTAAAAGTTATTAAGGCTCAGTCTTGAAACTGTTACAGATTTAAACAATTACTGACCCCAGATCAATTTCATTACTTAAAAAAAATCTATATAGTTTACTGTCCTTTTTCCCATTAAAGTAATAAAAACACCGTTGTCTACCCAGATAATCTTAGTTTCCTTTGGTTCTTTCCTCTCCTTTACCCCCAAATCGAGTTCATTTTCTGTTCAAAATACATTTCCATCTTCACTGCCACCTTATTAGTTACTTTTCTCATTACTTGGAAAAAACACCAAGCAATTTAAGCATTTGTTTTGCCTTGGTGTCCAAAGGAACAGGGAAATTATGTGAGCAGTAACATGAGGCAGATTGCCACACTGTACCCTCAGGGAGCAGAGAGATATGAATGCTGGTGTTCTACTTGCTGGTTGCTTTCAATTTAGTCCAGAACCCCAATCCATAAGATGCCCACATTTGGGCTCTTGTCACTTTAGCCCAATTTAGAAAGTTTTTCAGGCAAAGAGAAACTTCCTTATAGGCATGCCCAGAAGTATGTCCCATCAGTGCTACTAGCTCATGTCAGGTTGCACCTTTCACTCCTGGCTCTACAGGTGCATAACACCTTAAATGGAACCACTGCTCCCAGATATGTGCTAAAGTTTGTAATGTTTCCAAGTGAAGATAGAGCCAGTGGGTGTCCAAGATAACACCACACATCAAATACATTAACACTCACAGTTATTCTGCCAGAGCTGGGAGCCATCACCTAGACCCCCACACTCTGCCCACTTTTGGATCTATATCCTCAAAATTCTTCAGATTTTAAAAAGTCAAGAAACATTATGCTATCTGTAAGCTTTAGGAACATAACTTTGTATTAGCTTGCCAAGGGCCAGACTGTGCTGTGTCGTTTTATGTCAACAAGTCATCCGAGAGGAGGGAACTTCAAGGTTTTGTTTTGTTTGTTTATCTGTTTTTTAAATGCCTCTGTAGGGTATCTTCCTAATTAGTGATTGATGGGGCCACCCATTGTGGATGGTGCCATCCCTGGGCTGGTGGTCCTGGTTCTATGAGAATGCCAGCTGTACAAGCCAGAAAGCAGCACTCCTCCATGGCCTCTGCATCAGCTCCTGCCTAAAGGTTCCTGCCCCGTTTGAGTTCCTGTCCTGACTTAAGTGATTTGGAGGTGTAAGCCAAATAAATCCTTTCCTCCTCAAGTTGCTTTGGTCATTGTGTTTCATCACAGCGGTGATAATCCTAACTAGGGCTCCCATATCCGTGGTAGGCTGATGAGATTCACTCAGTTTGACTGTTGTTTTATCATGTAAACTATTTATCCACTCTATTGGGGGTTGGGATGAGGGATGCTGACATGAATGGTGCTGCAGTGAACACATGCTCCTGTGTGTGTATGCAGCAGTCACTATCAAGAGCATCTCAAGATATACGTTAAACTTCTGAAGAAAATTTTTCAAAGTGATTATATGAATCTTAATTACTGTTATTCTTTTACAGAAATGAAAAAATACATTGTCTTGATATATTACCTGTATGATACCACAAAACAGTATTCCCCTGTGGTCTTTCTTTGCATTTCTCTAATCACTAGTGAGGCTGAGTACTGCTTTTTTTTCTTCCAGGTTTTTCTTGGTGACAAGAACTCGTCTGTGAAATGCCTGCTGCATTTTGTCTGTTTTCTTTTGCCTTGTGCTTTTCTTACCATACTCATCTTTCTCACACCAATCCCCCAAAGCTGCAGTTACAGCCTGTTGTGAGCTGCCCAACTCTGGTCCTTGGCACATTTCCAAGAGCAGTAAACGCTCATACCTGTAGCCCTTGAAAGATTATCCTGATGGGTCACACTTTCGTATTTATTTAAATGGCAGGTAACTAAGCTATATTTTTAACATTGTGGGTGGTATATCTAAAGATTCCCATTTATTAACTCCAAAGATTGAAGTAGTGACTTTTTTTTAAGTAAACATGATAGATTAACATGCATTGCCTGCAGGAAGCTTCAGTTTGGATCTTTTATTTTATCTGTCTCTCCTATACATGGTCAAAACACCAAATTCAGAAATTATTTGAGTTACTTCTCTGTCTTTGCTGATATTTATAAGGGTATTAACAAAACATCATCTTGATTTCTCATCCTTTCCATTCCATTTACATCCCATTATACCAGTCCCTGTAGACAACCAACTGAATTTGTGACAGTGAAGGAAGGAGGGTAGGTATAGTTATGTGGTCCTAACCAAGAAAGAAATTAATTTCCTGTAATCACCTTGCTGGGACATATACTCCTGAATAAAAGGCAGTAGATTCACTGAGAACACACTATTTAAATCAAGATGGTTTTAATGGTTGCATTATCAAATGAAGGGGGCTCAAGAAAATTACTAAGTCCTCTTCTAAAATGTACTTCTCAAATGTGTTCAAATACTAAAAACAGATTTTGTTTTTGTTACAGTTTCTTGCTATTGCCCAGTTTAGTCTCAAACTGTGAGTGTAAGTGATCCTTCCACCTGTTAGGACCAAGGCACCAATGTTGGGAAACGTGCGAATGTTGGGAAACGTGCACCTGTGGAGGTTACAGGAGGGTTCACAAATCACATCACGAGATCGGTTCCACGTGGGAGGTTTATTAGGGGAAGAGGGAAAGGGAAAGGGGGGGGGGCGCCCCAGAGAGAGAGGGAAAGTAAGGGAGTAAGAGAGAGAGAGGACAAGAGAGTAAGAGTAAGACGGTGGGGGGGGGTGTCCAGGAGTTCTTATAGGGTGACCCAGGGCATTCACAGGTAATTCCAGGTGGTCTGGGTGTCTTCACAAATGCCTGATAACCGGTTTGTCAGGTCCCTTGGGGCTGACCGTGGAGGTGCCTGCTTACTGATCCCAACACCACCTGTCTCCCAAGTAGCTGGAGTAACAGGTATACAGCACCATGTCCCACTGAAAACATTTGAAGTATTCTCATAGAGGGTGTATCGAGTTCTTATGTATCAACAAATTATAACTATTTAAAACAGGTAAACAAAGCTCTGACTTATTTAAGTTAATATTGTTGGTGGGAGGTTTCTAACAAATAATCTTTTTTTTTTTTTTTTTTTTTTTTTTGAGATTGGGCCTCACCATGTGGCTCTGGCTTTGCTGAAAGTATGCAGACCAGGACGGCCTCGAACCGACAGGGATCCACCTACTTCTGCCTCCCAACTGCTGGGACTAAAGTCATGCACCACTACCTTGGGTAACTAACAAATACTCATAATTATTTCAAAAAGAAAATTTACAATTCCTTACATACTGAGATTTGAACCATAACAATGCAAGCTTTGAAAAGAACCCTAAATGGTCACTATTTTTGCTTTGACTGAGAAGGTGGGATCAGAGTACACTGGGCTTTGGAATGCTTAGGTATAAAGGTTATGCTGGTTCAGTCAGCAGCATCAATCATTAGAAGGGACAGAGGGCAGAGCAGAGGATGATATGGTGGTGATGAAAATAGGCTCATGACCTTGGTAAAAAAAAAAAAAAAAAAATCCCAGAATGTTTCAGATGAAGCTAATGCCTTAACTGTGACAAGCAGAGATGAAAATAAGGTTTTGAGAAAATGAAGAAATAGTGATTTATTGGCAGGAGTCTTTTATGACAGGTGTCTTTAGTTTTCTGATTCATGAGCCTTATTTAAGGAAATGAAAATACACATGGTATTATTAATCTTGCGCACAAAACTGCAAGTTGGTGTTTCTAGAGTGTACTTCCCTTTGGACTGTCTAGATGTATTAACCTAATTCAGAATCAGTGGAAGCAGGCAATACAGCGTGATAGGGCAAGACAGGGCAGATGAACATCATCTCATAATCTTGTTGAGGCCAGCTCCAGGTTTACCTAGAATCTGATCTCCTTGATGGACAATCCCATGGAACACTACCGAACTCTATTCTAGGAACCAAAGGTCAGGATGTTGTGGCTAACGTATCTAGGCCTTTGTTAAAACTGCTTGTTTGTTCGGAACCTCCTCAACTGCTTATTTTAGCTGCCTGTTTGTGCAGAAAACCCCACGGCTGCCTAACATCTCAGCTTCTGTTAAAACTGCTTACTCTGCAAAGCCCTGCTGAAGCAGCCCAGTGAGATTCCTTAACTTTAAGGTCTCTGTCCTTCAAAACCCGTGTTCTGGACACTCAGGGGCTACACATAGGTTTCAGCTGGCTAGAATAACGATTTTTGTGTTAGTTATGCACTCTGAGTGTTTATCTCCAGTGGACTACCTATAACATACAGAAAAGAATGATGACAACTTAGAACAAATGGATTAAAAAAAAATACTCACAAACTGAGTCTTTTAAAATTAAAGGTTATTGTTTCTGGATTTTGTTCATATTAAGTCTGATTTCTCTTTCAAACTTGATGAACTCCCTCTACATACACTTTGGTGACTGTCTATAGAAAAAAAAACATTAAGCCATCTTTTTTCTTGCCAGATGACATAAACACATTTTTGGACTGTTGTGCCCGATTTGCCAGACCCCAAAAGACCACCACCAGGAGTTGAGTCCGTTGCAAAACATGTAAGGATCTTTTTATTACAAGCTACAGCTTGTGCTCACACACCCTCACCACCAAAGAGATGAGAGCTGAGAGCCTCGTGCTCAGGTTAGATGGGTGATTTAAAGAGTCCAGTCCCTCCCAGCATGCCCAAAGCAGGGGAATTCCTACCTGGCAAGCGTCTATTGGTCAAAAAACAAAAGGGGATGCTGCATTTTTAACTGATTGCTTATAGGAAGGCCCCCCCCCCCAACCATTAATTGTCTAGCTTCCCTTGTTTGGCTACCTTAGGGGAAAGGGGCTGGTTTCCTAGCAACTGTATCTCTAGTGGGCAGGAAAAGAATGTAGTAAGGCTAGTTCTTCCCAGCAGATGGTTGGACATTATCTCCACATGGCTGGTTCCACCTTTTTTCAGCTTGTGCTTTAAACTTTAAAACAATAGCCACTGATTTTTAATTCTTTGATCTCTCAGGACAGGAGTACATATACAGACTAAAATAAAAATTAAAGCAAAACTTTTTCCTGAGTGATGAACTCTAAGTTCTGGGACAAAACTAGGTTATAGGTGAACAAATCTATTCTCCAGAGAATATACGGCCTCAAACATAACTTTGAATTTCAGGTATTCCGCATTTCTATAAAAAATTTCTTCCTACACCTCAAAAGATGTTTAAATTATCTACACAAGCCACTACAGGAAGATAGATAGCTGCGGCCAGACAACACCTATCTTTCTTTGCTGTATCTATAAAGTTTCAAGTTACACTTGATCTCACTTGTCACCACAGAAAGCTTGAAGGTACAATCTACTTCCACAGAGACGAAGTCCACTGCCAGTTCTTGTCTGGGCTAAGAGTGAAGAACCTTAAGTCTCAGCTTTGGGCCCCGACGACGTTCCTTAACCTTGAGAACTCACTATTTAGGTAGGAGGTGCAAGCACATCCCACCTGGTCCTGAGGCCCAGGAGCCGGGTCTCAGTGGCACCATTGATTGGGCTGTTTAATGCCTTCTGCCGCTCAACAGTATTCTGCGGTGGTAAACGCCGCACTCCACTCCACTCCACGGAGGTGACGTGAGGAGTGGAATAATACGATCAGCCGTGGTCGCATTGCTTCAAGGGCGGCCGGTGCGTCTATATACTCTACTGGCCTGCACAGGAAGGCCCCCTCCCCGCGTCCTCTCCCGAGGTTCTCAGATTAAGAGCTGGTTTTACGGGGTGCTTGAACCAAGAAGACCACACCTATCTGCTTTGGGAATACCCTCGCGGTCCCCAAAGCATCCTGTCCTCCCCGAAACCACCGTAGGTCCGCTGCCTGGGTCGCCATAGCCAACTTGGAAATAAATCTCTCCGTTTCCGCGGGCAGACTACCGCGCATGCGCACGGCGCCGGCTCCAGAAGCGAGGAATTCAGGTAACTAGCGAAGTACTGGATTATCTCCCGGGAAGATTTTGAACAAACTTCTGCAAGTCACGACATGCGCATGCGCGTCTGTGATGGTTGGTTTCCCGGAATTTGAAGAGAAGGGGTGGAAAAAAAAAAAAAAAGAACCGGAAGTCGTACTGAACCTTCACTTCCACTTGGCACAGAAGGAAACTCAAGCTCCGCGAGAGGAGTTCCGGCGCGGCTTGGGCTGGAGGAGACAGAATGGAGACCGCGATCGAAGATCCGGGGCTGGACCGCGGTCCGACGCTGACCTCGTCCTGGGATGCGGCGTGCGGGGCGCTGACCCAGAGCCTCCTTCTTACCCGGACTGGGCCAGGTGCCCAAGACTTGGACTTCGAGCAGCTGCTGGTGCCGCCAGCTCCGGGGTGCGCCGGGTCGGGGCCGGGTGACAGTCACGCTGCTGAGAAGCCGGGAGGAGGAGCGGAGCCGAGACGGGGGAGGGAGCGGGTCCGGCCGGGGTGGGCTGAGGACGACCGTGTCGGGAGACGGGCGAGGCCACGGACAAGTGCTGCGCGCTGAGCCGGAGAGGCCTGGATTCAGGATCCTGGAGTCAGCCGGGACACCTCCACAGGCTCCCACTAAGAATCCCCTCCCCGAAACCAGCCAACCTACTGTTCTGGGGAACAGAAACGGAGCAAGTCCAACCATAAAGCACCACGGCATTTTAAAAGAAGACACGTTGTTGTCTTTTCTTTGCACTCAGTAAATGCTTTTTAATTGATTGCGAATGAATTAGAGATTTGAGTAGAATGTCCACGGTCAAGGAAAGGTGGAAGGGAATGCCCTGATGCCTCAAGCCTCTGTGCCTTATGAATTTTGTGTGGAGTATCTGTGAGTGTTGGGGAAGGTTCTTGGTCTTCAGGAAGAGTAGAAGTGAGTTTGAAGAGATCTATGGGTTATGGTTCTACTCAGAAAAGTTCTCTGTGTGATGGTTTATCAATTTTCTTCTCAGCTTGGATCTGGTGAGTCTGAAAAGCAGCCTGAGTTCCCGAGATGAAAATCCTTGCTTCCTTTACCTGAAGTGTGGGCCTAATGAAGGTGAAGAAATCCTTTCAGTTGGCATTCTGAGCTCAGCAAGAAACATGGAAATATACTTAGGAGAGGAGTATTGCGGAACCAGTCGGGGCAAAAATGTCTACACTGTCCCGGATGACAGGTTTGTGAGTTGTTCAGGTGAAAGTGTCTTCTCAACTCTTTCAACGTTTGTGAATTTTCTAACCTTGACACTGAGTCATTAGGGGAGAGAAGTTATAAACATACCAAAAGGCACATGCTAGACCACTAAGTTTTCAAAGGACAGGGTAAATGAGCAAGCTTATAAATATGGAAATTTAGGGCTAATTAAATGGAAGTGAATTGGTAGGTCACTGGTAATTAGTGGAAGAGCTTTATTAGAATGAATTAGAATGAAGTCTTGGTAGGTATTCTTATTTCTCTCATTTAACTCAGCAGGGTCTGTTTTACAACAATTAGACATTCTGAAACTCTGAATATATTCCCTTCTAGAAAGCTCCTTATACATGGTATATCAGCCTAAGACTGTCACATCAGCATATTTATTAAGCTATTATAAGATGGACAATTTGTGATGTTTCTTTCCTGGTCTCTTACAAGTTTCTGCCCAGATCTATCCTTAATGTAATCCAGAATCTATGTCCTACACGTGTTGAAAATAATAGTGATGTTTACAGACTTTAAAATATGCCATGTGCTACCTTGTTCAATTTTCCATAATGGCTGGTAAGTGTTAGATCCTGTTCCTTTAAGCAGTGCAGCACAATCAGGAACCTCTTATTCCATGTACCTGACCAGGAAAAGGGAATCTCAGAGATGAAGTAATGTCCCCAAAGCATTTGTTCTTAAGTATATTGTTAATATTTACAATTAATGGCTGTTAAAAATGAATTCTTTTATTTTAGTGAACATGAAAAAATTCTGTTGTACAAAAAATACCTAAAGCTGGAGTCTCCCACACATGCTTGTAAAATAAAGGTAAGTCATCACTAAATTTTAAAATTTAAAGTTAATCAAATTGTTATTGTTCTGTATATACTTATTTCTTCTTATTTCCATGTAAAGCATGTAAAGGTGTATTACCTTCTAAAAAATTTCCAATCTTTTAAGCACTGAAATCTCTTTAAAGTGTGGTAATTTATTAGTTAAAAAATGTTTTGTTAGTATAGTCACACTATATTTTGAAGCCTCATGAAGCCCAGCCAAGAACACTTTAAAAGTCTTTTTATAAAACTATAGTACTACAAAAGGCAGAAGCAAAACTGGCACTGTGTAAAGAATGGAGGGAAGGTTCAAATAAGAGAGCCAGAGAGTTTAAGGAATTCAGACTGTCGTCTTCAGCCAGAAGAATATTCTTGAGATAGGTATTAGTGATGTTGTCAGTTTAGGAGCAGGCACTGAGTGGGAAAACTCAAGTCCAGATGTAAGTATTAATCCAGCTCTGTTGCCAACCAGTGCTCTCCAGTGCCACCTTACTTAACTGTTTGGACTTACTGCATGAGGAAAATTATTGGATCTTAGAAACCGAATTCTTGGGTTCTTTTTATCTCTGAAATTATGTGCTTGTTATCACAGAAGATGGTAAGACTTAGTTTCAAGATAAGAAAAAAATAAATGATTTTCATCAAAGAGCACAGGTCACAGAACTGTTTATTCCAGTGTCATTTTAAATGGAAAAAAACTAATAGCTTGTAAAGGCATTTAAGTAAAATAATTTAATTCATCTAGTGAAAGTGTTAGTACCTGTTGATAACAGATACTATACAAGGCATTTAGGAATAGCAACTGGAAGGGCCAGTCTTCATGTTGCCTCTATATTAGTGGGACAAGACAGATGATAATTAGATTTACTGACTTTTGTATATATAACATATATAATGTAAAAAATACATATACTGTAGTTTCTGGTCACAGTGGTACAGATCTTTAAACCCAGTACTCCAGAGGTAGAGGCAGGTGGGTCTCCATGAATTCAAAGCCAGCCTGATCTACATAGCAGGTTCTAGGACAGGTAGGGCTACATAGAGAGAGCCTGTCACAAAAGACAAACAAAAATATTCTGTAGTCAATGATGAAAAAGGGTCTTGGGATTATAAACATAAAGGAGACAGAAGGGCCCAGTATGTTGACACATACATATAATCCCAGGAACATCACAAGTTTGAGGCCAGCCTGGTTATGTAGTTAGTCCAGACTATCTAGAGCTACCTTCTAAGATTTTATCTGAAGAAAACAAAACTAAAAATACATAGATAAGAAAGAAGTCAATAATGAGGTCGAATATAAATTTAACAAGTGTTTCCTTAACTGACTAGAACTGTCCTATATTTGGTACCACACTCAGAGTTTATAGAGCCCTTATACCACGTATGAAACGTCTTTTGGTTCGGAAACATGCACAACTAAGTCATCAGGGTGATGGGAGTAACAGCTCAGCGGTGAGCGCTGACCTAGCATGTGTGAGTTGCTGCTGTCTCAATACCCCGAAGTGATTCGGAAGACACAAAAAACAAAAATGGAAAATCTGTGGTAATAAAAGCCAGGAGAGCCGGGTTTCAAGCTTGACTTAGAACCACTGAGTATCTTTCACCCAGTTAGAAATTCACCTGAACTTTTAATGTAAACCACAGCTATTTAACATATTAAGTAGTTCTGGCATTGCATCCTCTCTGAACTACAAAACACTGAATTCTGTTTAGGATTTAGATAAATCCTGTATGAGTATCTGGACAGTTTTGTTTTATTTCAAATAATATCAAAGCCAATGGGCTACACTAAGATGGAGGGTTCTTGGATTTCGTCTCCTCCTCTGGTCATGTGCTAGTCAGGTGCTGTACCACTGAGCTATACTCCAGCAAGGTGTGGTTTGTTTTAATTTCTTAAACTAAGTAAACAAAACTTTCATATTCTTTATGTATATCTTATGACTTGGAAAGGATTTCTTTCCTTAAATAATTGGTGTTTGCCTCATGATACACTGGAATTTATTTTCTAACTTTGACTATTATAAAGAAAACTTGAAATGCTCTTGAAGTTCATTTATAGACTCTTGAGTACACGGCCTTGCTTTGGTAATCCTAAGCAGTCTCCTTAAGTAATGGCTGTTTTTAATGCCACTGTCATTTTTGGAATGTTTCTGTTTCATGATAGTTGCTGTCTTTCGGTGAAAAGCAGTGTGTGCTCGTCAGCAAAGTTGTGGTGCACGTGAGACCAAGGTCAGCAAACCCTTCACCAAGCTCTCCTGCTCTAGGGTCACGGATAGACCTCGACAGTGTCCAAACCATAATGGAGTCCATGGGGTCAAAGCTATCTCCTGGAGCTCAGCAGCTGATGAATATGATTAGGCTTCAGCAACAGGCAAGTAAAGATGGGCGTTATTCAGTTTTAAAATGCTGGTTTGGGGAGATGGTTCATTGGTCAAAAGGCTTGCTATACAAGCCGGATGAACTGAATTCAGATTCCCGGAGCCCATGTCAAAGCAGGACACACTACAAAATGTGTCTGTAACACTTGTGTTCCTTCAAAAAGACGAAAAAGATGGGAGGTGAAGGCATAAGAATCCCAGTTGGTCTGGTATATACTGAGGGGGTTAGACCCTGTTCCAAAGAAGTAGAAGGTAGCAACTTGAAGTAATCCTCTGAGTTTGGAGCTCTCCTGCTCCCAAACACACACACGACCCTCTTCCAACAACAACAACAACAAAAAAATAAAACATTTTTTTTCTTAATGCTGGCCTTTAATATGATAATATAGTATATTGATTTTTTATTAATTTCTACACTGATGATTTAACTGTCATCTATTTATAATTTTTATAAAAGTCACATTTTATAGACTTGTCCTTCTACAAAATGTTCTTCTGACTGCACATCTTTGTTTTTCCTGAATTTTATGCATTTATTCATCAGTGAACAAGACTCTGGCTTGCTCCCTTTTGAGGGTATAAAGGTGATCAGTTGGTGTGTAGCCTGTCTTTAAGCATTATATATGGTGAATGATGAGAAAGATAAGAAAGGTATACTGGCTAGCCGGTGGTGGCCCCCACCTTTAATCCCTGAACTTGGGAGGCAAAAACAGGCAG